ATATTGGGTTTTCTGTTGTTGGATGTGTTTTTACCTTTTCCTCTTCTCATCCTTTCTTCTGGTGGGTGTAGCAAGAGTTTCTTGTTCTTCTGGTGGGTGTGGGACCAAGGTTCTCTTCTGGTAGATGCAAACAGATCCAATACTCTGATGTCGGTCCTCTTCTCTTGAATGGAGGTGTCACTGTTCCCCGGGTGTTGGCAGTGTTCGGGCGTGCAGGGTCCTGGGCCAGCGGATGGAGGCGGGCTGCCTCTGGGTGTTCATAACCCGCTGCCCAACTGGTCCGGCATGCAGGTCGCTTGTGTCAGGTGACTGTGAGCAGTGACAACAAACTGGAACCGGTAACAGTTGCTGGCCTACCTGGACCGGGGGATGGGGGCTGGGCTGCCTCTGGGTGTTCGGAGTTCGGAACCTGATGCCAAACTGGTCCAGCACGCAGGTCTCTTGTGTCAGGTCCTAAATCTATTCTTGAGCACTATCTTTTCAAAATTAAAACTATAAGAGAAATACATTAGTGTCAAATTATATATAGCCAGATCTGGAGAGAAAACAATTAAAAAAGCTCTTTTGGACCCAAATAAAGTATCCTATGGTAAAATTTAAAAAAAAAAAAAAGAAGGCAAGTTGTGTGGGTGAGCCTACATGGGTCTGCACCAGGTCTGCTGCATTTATATGACAGCTATTCGATTGGTATTTTTATGGGACTCCTGACTGTGAGAACAAGTGGGTCTTTGAATCCTGTGCCTGCTCTTAGGACTCTTCCTCATGTTGGGTTGACATGTTCAACTTTTGATATGCTAGCTATTCCTTGATCTTAGGGAAGTGAATTCTGAGGGAAGGAAAATGGGAAGTAACTGGGAGGAGTAAAGGCAAGAGTGTAATCAGGATATAGTCTATGAGAAAAGAATATTTTCAATAAAAGGGAAGAATAGAAGGAAAAGTATTTGGAGACAGTTTGCTTCTTAGCTCCCAGCAAAAGGCATTTACAGAGTTTTCAAACATCCCTCTGGAGCCATGCCTAAAGCATACTATGGTTTTCTTCTCTCCAAGGACTCTGAAAATGTTTTCTCTGCCACCTTACAAAGGCAATTCTGACAAGAAATGATCTTATGCCTTATGGAAGATAGTGAACTAAAACGACCCAGTGTAGCAGAACAGTATTTTTTTTTTCTTTTTGAGTTTCAGAACTTTAGTCTCCCTAGAAGCCTAAATATATTGGCTTCTTTGAGAAGCCACATTGAAGACCTGAGTTTCTACAACACATCCAAAATGTCTAATGGGCATTCCCTTTTATGGTGCCAACTAACTGAGCACTTATCCAAAATACCTAAGGATTCTTCTCTTCACAGACTTCACCAAGTGTCAACTATCCCCAGCACACATCATTGTGATTGCGATATGGAACTTCTTTAGTTATATTAGTTATACCTGTCAAAAGTCTGTTTCTGATATCTCTTTCTATATCAGACTTTGCCACATTATAGCTCTCTCAAAGAACTTTTTAATTCTTTAATTACTACTCATATTTACATATCCATTCCCCCATTCCCTCGCCCTCCCATCCTCCCATGTTCCCTACCAACCCCCCAACCCATCCCCCAACTCCTCCTCAGGGATAGTGAAGCCCTCCACCAGGGACCTTCAAAATCTGCCATATCTTTTGGAGGAGAGACTAGGCCCTCCTTGCTGTATGTGGGCTGCAATAGTATCCCTCCATAGGGAATTGGCTCCCAAAGTCCATTTGTGCTCTAGGGTTAAAGACTGGCTCCACTATTAGAGGTCCCATAGACTGTCTTGGTCTCCTAGTTAGCACCCACATTCAGAGGGCATGGTTTGGTCCAATGCTGTTTCTGCAGCTTTGTGACTAGGGGTCTCCATGCTCTCTCTAGGTCAGGTCAACTGTTTCTGCAGCACTGTCTTGGATTCTATGCTCATCCCTCCTCCCTCTCCACAATTGGTTTCCAGGGGTATGGTTCAGTGCTTGGCTGTGGGTGCCTGTTTCTGCTTCGAACAGCTACTGGATGGAAGCTCTAAGAATGGTAACCAAGGTAGATAGACATAGGGGAAGGACATCAATGGCATTTTCTCCACCACTGCTTGGATTCTTAGTTGGGGTCATCCCTGTGGATCCCCTAACATTTCCCCTGTGCCAGACCTCTCTCCATACCTGTATTGTCTCCTCTATCAAGACATCTCCTTTCTTTTTTATTTTTTTGAGAATCTTCATGTTTTTATTCCTTTCACAGTTCTTTTCTTTTGTTCCTGGACTTCTGTATGGCTAGGCCTTTTCTGACCACTCAAGAGGTAACACATTTCCACAATTAGTACTACACAGACACTTTCTGCCCAAAAAGCACAGATTTGCAGCTATTTTCATTTGTTTTTCCTTGAGGCAACCAGTGTAAAAATAGGAGGCAAGAGTGAAGTATTTACACGGGGGGGAGGAATTTAGAGGCAGACTCTAGAGAGAGTGAAAACAACTGTAATTTTCTTTAGGCCTTGTCCATTCTTGAAGCCTCTATGAATGTTCCCCCAAAAACAACCTCAAAGGAAATGATGAAGTAGTAGATTAATGTATAAATAGTAGCCATTAATCTCCTATCCAGGACTCTTTCTTCACTACCCTCTGCACAAGAACATTTAGATATCACCTTTAACGTCCACCAGAATGGATACACTTTCTGACACTTGCGATTATTGCTGGGCATCTCCTTTCTTACCCTCCTCTATTCCTCCCCTGTCTCAGTTCTCTTGTTCTCCTCCCCCCTCCCCATCTTCCCTTCCCACCTCATTCCTCTCCACATCCCCCCATGCCCCACTTTGTTCAGGAGTTCTTGTCCCCCTGCCGTTCTTTGAGGGGACTATGCAATCTTCTCTTTGGATCCTCCTTGTATCCTAGCTTCTTTGGAGGTGAGGGTTGTAAACTGGGTAATCATTTGCTCTTATGTCTAAAACTCATATATGAGTGAGTACATACCATGTTCATCTTTTTGTTACTGGGCTACCTCACTCAGGATTGTTTCTTCTAGTTCCATCCATTTGCCTGCGAATTTAAAGATTCCATTTTTTTTTCTGCTGAGTAGTACTCCATTGTGTAAATGTACCACATTTTCTCTATCCATTCTTCAATTGAGGGGAATCTAGGTTTCTTCCATGTTCTGGCAATTACAAATTACAATGTCCCTTCTGCTGCTACAGTGTGGAACAATTTGAGGAGTACTGGTACTAGCTCTTCTTTGAATTTCTGGTAGAATTCTGCACTGAAACCATCTGGCCATGGGCATTTTTTAGTTGGGAGACTTTTGATGACTGCCTCCATTTCATTAGGGGTTATAGGTCTATTTAAATTGCTTATCTGTTCTTGATTTAATTTTGGTAAGTGATATCTATCCAGAAAATTTTTCATTTCCTTTGGATTTTCGAATTTTGTGGAGTACAGGTTTTCAAAGTATGACCTGATGATTCTCTGGATTTCCTCAATGTCTGTTGTTATGTCCCCCTTTTCATTTCTGATTTTGTTAATTAGCATGCTTTCTCTCTACCTTTTGGTTAGTTTAGATAAAGGTTTGTCTATCTTGACTTTCTCGAGGAACCAACTGTTTGTTTCATTGGGTCTTTGTATTGTTTTCCTAGTTTCTACTTTATTGATTTCAGCCCTCAGTTTGATCATTTCCTGGCTTTTATGATTTTGTTGAATATGTTTTCTGTACCTTTGATCTGAATTTCTTCACCTTCTTCTATACCTATTATTCTTAAGTTTGATCTTTTCACGGTGTCCCATATCTCCTGGATATTTTGTGTTAGGGATTTGTTGGACTTGAGATTTTCTTTGGTAGATGACTGTACATACTCTAATGAGTCTTCAACACCTGAGATTCCCTCTTCCATCTCTTGTATTCTATTGGTTATGCTTATATCAGAGGTTCCTGATCATTTACCCAGCTTTTCTATTTCCAGCATCCCCTCATTCTGTGTTCTCCTTATTGTTTCTAATTCTGCTTTCAAACCGTTGTTTTTTCTTCTATTTCTTTAAGGGATTTTCTTATTTCCTCTTTAATGGTCTCTATCATCTTCATAAGATAATTTTTAAGGTCCATCTCTTCTTCATCCTCTGTGTTATGATTTTCAGGTCTTGCTGGTGTGGATCCCTAGATTCTGGTGGTGTCATATTGGTCTTTCTGTTGTTGAGTGTGTTCTTATTCTGTCATCTTCCCATCCCTTCTTCCAGTGGGGGCAGGTGGGGTCTCTCCCTCTCTCAGGTGGCAGGCGGAGGGCAGAGGGCAGAGGGGGGACAAGGGTGAGGTGGGTCCAGACTCAGGGTGGGCCTTCCAGTCTACGAAGATCCAGTCTTGTCCAGGGGGAGGCTCAGGAAGAAGCGAGCAGGGGGTGATGGGGGAGGTTGGGGGAGAGCATGACCCAGACTCACCTCAAGCCCAGGTGGAGGGCAAAGTTCTCAAAGAACTTTTGCATAGCTTGCTTGCTTCAGTGCCTTATGTTCCAAGGTCAAGGGTCAAACCAACAGACAGGAGATTCCATGGCAATTTGTTGCTCTGACAACAGTCTGTCCTTTGTATAAGAATGGTAAAGGAAGGAAGTTATCTTTTGTGCTCTACAGGTTACTTCAGCACCTGCCACAACCAATGTCTCTGGCAGCACCTCTGCAGTCTGTGAACATTCTAATTCTACCCTTCATCTTGTGTTTGAAAAAAGAAAAGACGTGTGAGACATTGATGGTAGTCTCGGGGAGAGCTTTTTATCCACAATGATACACATCCCAAACAGAAGTATCCTGGCTGCCAACGTAATCTTCTCCTCTGGGGCCATAGTCATGATGGTAGTTGGACTCATCATGGAAAACTGGGTGGAACTGATTCCCAAAATGAGAAAGGATAAGACTACCCACAGCCCATGGCTGGGTTGCTGTCCTGCTTTATGGCCTGAAGGTCAGAACTGTACTGTGGAAAGTGGTGGGTAGAGAGGAAATTTTCATGGTTCTTTGAATTTGATCATCTGATCAGCTTATCCATTATTCCTGGGAGCAAGTTTCTCAGGCAACAGTAAGCCCATTTACATACACAGCATAGTGGAGGGAAACTAAAATTTTAGCATTTAGTTTTTGGTAGAAAATGTTAGGAGCTCATTGCTTTAAGCACTGCACTTCTGATAAACCTGGAAAGTAGCAGTAGGGTAACCAGCACAACTGGACATGAAGGGTTAAAAAATGAATAACCAAAAGGCAAATGGATTTTAGCATCCCTAGAAGAGGATGGGTGGAGTAAGGTACTTAACCTATGAGTTATAAAAAAAACTTATGAAGACACTAAATTTGTTCTGGTTCTCTCCAGTGTCTCAAGTACACTGCTTCTTTATTCATTACTACTTTTCTTTCTTTTGTATGCTGAGTTTTTTAGGCCCTCATGAAAGTTTGACCTAGACAGTTGTGGAAATGAGTCTGGAAGAAGTATCTTTCTCTCAATGCAGCTTCTGCTTCCCAACAGATAGCCTGAAGATCATCAGAAGCCTGATGTTGATGAGTCTCAACATTTCCATATATCTCAATTTGATCATAGGTCTGCAGTTCACCTATATGATTTCTCAAAATAAGTGTGTGCACCTCTTTATTGGCTTCCTGAGTTTCTTCACAGGTAACTTCTTGGCTCCACTGGTATAGATGGAAATAGCAATGGTCTTTATGGAGTCCCTTCTGTAATTTTTAAATAGCCAGCCTTCCCAATTCTATGATTCAAGGGTATATATTATTTCTGAATTAGATCTGCCACTAACTTACAATCACACTAGGGAATAGCTGTACCAGAAGGGACAGTTTGGGAAGTAAGGTGAATGATGGTAATGAGCTTAACGTTCTTGAGAAAAAAATTCTTTCTTTTGGACACTAGGTTGCCTCATGTTCTATGCAATTACTATGTATCATCACAAGCTAAATAAAGGTCAACTTGAATACTTCATTAGTTATAAGACCAAATGGGTCGTTTTCACTGCCTACTTAGCCATCGCATTCCTTCTTACTTGTGGTGAGTATCCCCAGGGTCCTAGAAGAGAGATAGGAATCAATCAGTCTGCACAGAGAGAAATATGAAATAATGAAAATGGAAAATCAAGAAGATGCCAAGCCCCATTTTTTAAAAGGTGAAAACGTCGCCTGGACTATCTAAATGCAATTCTTAGAAACCAAAAGCTGAGATTGGATGTGGTAGGTTATCCCTGCCTCAAAGAGCTCTCCTTATCTTCTCCTTCTCAGTACTTTTAGTACCTTTCCAACTTTAAGGCAGAGATAAACCATGAAGGTTACCACCAAGGACAGTGGCTGAGAACAAGGTTTAATTATGTTAGACAGAACCAGGAAGCCAAGGAAAACACTGTGGTGCCATGGCAGTTATGAGACAGCCAGCATCAGAACTGATACTAAAGGGACCCCTCAAAACACGAGGTCCCCTTCTCCTTCTCCTGAAAATTTCATAAGAATTGCATGCACCTCCCCAGAGAACCCATGTAGAAGTACATCTTCATTCAGAATGAACCCCCACACACAGGGAGCTGAGAATAATTGAAGTTACTGCAGATAATTCCACTCCCTCTGACTAGATCACTCTTCCCCAGGATGGCTCCAGATAGTAGCTGGGAAGCATTCACAGGGCTCAGTGGTCAGAGACTTCTAAGGATTTGGAAGGAAGTGGTCCCACACCTCTGCACGTTACACTAATCCTGCTCCCGTTTCTCTGTCCCTAGGTATCTTCTGTTTTATACAGTGCACAAACACATGTGCCTGCATGAGATTCTGTATACCACACAGAGAAAGTACTGGCAGAAGGCTGTCTGGGAGTTCAATACAAGTTATTTCACTTCCAGAGCGCACCACGAAGCCTCGGAGCATTGTCCATGTACACTCCGTGCCCTCAAAGGATGGTCAGGTCAACAAATCACATGTCCAAGCACGCCGTGTAACCTGGGCTCTATGACTTAACAATCTGTCCCTTTCAGTGCTTCTTGCCCATTGCCATGTATGCTGGTGTGTGTGTGTGTGTGTGTGTGTGTGTGTGTGTGTGCGTGTGTGTATCCAATCATTTCATCTATGTATGGCATTATGAATATATATGATGGCATTGAGGTCAATGAAAAGATTCACTTCTTAAATCTTGGCCTGGTAAACAATTACTTTTCTCTATATCTGTTATTAATACAAAAACTTTTATGTTTGCTGCACTGTTAATTCTATAACAGCATGGAATACTTTTTTATTTTACTGTGTGTAATATTTTGAACATATTGATGGGAAAACAAAGCACCATGTTAAACACCTGTGGATACATCACTCCACTTTATGAAATTTTAATGCTATGTCCACTATTTCTACTGGAGGATTTGTAATTCAAATTGATATTCCTCTAGACATTTTCCTAATCTCATCTTTGTTTCGCATAATAAAACATTGTTCAGGATGCCTTGCTGGTGATTTTACATCATGTTCTCATTTCTACTTCAATGCTCTGGATAAATGATGTCTAACTAACTTTCCAAGTGTTTGGAGAAATGGTATAGCTGTAGGACAAAGTTGCAAACATAAGCTAGGATAAGACCAGGAGGAGAAACCAGGGGAAGTTTATCACCTCTGTGAAACAGTATCTATATAGTTTTCCTATTGTAATGTGGCAACATCACATAATAGGTCAATGATGGCAGTGTTTCCTGTTAGAGTAAGCTTGTAAGCAAGAACTGAACATTCCTAAAGATGCTTCATCTGTGTTAAAGGCAGGCTTCATCCAGGTAACTAGAGCATCTCCATGCTTAGGGAGATATGAGGTGTTCCGAGATAAGCACCAAACTGTTTGGGGCTATTTTACACTCCCTTGATCACTAGTTAATCAATGTTTGTTAGCACAGTTTTAAATTTGTGAGACTATAAGTCAAACCTCAATGTATTAGATTTACTTCTAGAACAAATAGTTTCATGATATACAATGAATAATTTGAATGGCCTATTATAAATATACATATGAATGTGTATTCATAATACATATTTATATATGTATTTTTAGACAAATTTTTGAGAAGTCTTGTGGAGAAAGCATTGGTATGTTTCTCCTTGTGCTCTGTAGTGATATATCTGTAACAGCAACCAATTGACTAAGCACCGCCCCGTTACCCAATTTGTTCTTACAGGGTCTCTCAAATAGATCTAATACTTTTATACTCCCATACTCTCTACAGCCATGGAGAGTAGGCTCTCAACAGTAGGGTAAAACAGTGGCTCTATATAGGCATGTTTGAAACAAGTTGCTTTAGCCTCTGAGCAGTCCTCATTGTTGTTTGTCACCTTCTACTGTGTATCTACCTAACCTGATGCATTTGACTGTATTGTTTTATTTTTAATGACTGTTCTTTGATGTATTGTTTTGTGGCTTGTCTTTCTACTTAACATGACTAATTTGTGAACCTTGAACTAGAAATATTTTCATCTTCAAGTATAGCCAGTTCCTCTTTGAGGACATTTTCCAGTCTTTCTATCTAGGAAGTGATTTTCCAGCAGCAGTTTCCATTATTCTTATTTAATATATTCGTTTTTTTAGATATCAACTATGCCTTTTAAGCAAATGCTAGCCATAATATCAATCTTTGAGTGCTGGAGCTACATCATTGGAAAACCAAATGTAGTAAAATAATAGTTAGCAGCCTGGTGAGAATAGGTTGAAATCAATTGGTACAGTTTTACTTTCACAGCATTGGAAGACCACACAGACAAAAGGGAAAGGGTAGGATACTAAAGATGATTTGAAGTTAACAAGAGCATGGCTGAAACAATGGGAGAGATAGCAGGCAGATAAATGTGAATACAAATTATTTGACCTGTCTGTCAAGTTTTAGTATTAGTATGAAGAGGTAAGAAAAATGTCAATTCTAAAGAAGTTGTCCCATCTATATTGTAGAGTAGGTTCTTTGTGCACAGGTAAATAGTTTGGAAGTTTAATGTTTGCACACAGAAACATTGGGAAGGGAAAATAATATATAAATATTTGTAATGAAAGAATTTTTATTAGCACCTAAACCTTGTTTCAATAGTTAGTACCCTTTGGGTTTTCTGATTACTTAAAACTATGAGTAGCCCTCTTTCTAACACTTTAGCAGATTACAAGACAAAAATGGGAAAATGTATCATGTTACTATAAATTCCTCATTTGTCCTAGCCTTTCTCCTCCTTGTTATGATTCTACTTGTTTTTCTATTGTCAATTTGTTGAAATCTAAGCATATCAAGAAAATTTAAGCATAAGCAAGGAAACACAATGGAACTGCATGGTTTCTCTTCAGAAATCATAGAGATCAAATTTGAAGAAATGTCTTCTTAAACAAGATGACATTAAAAGACTGTTTTCCTGATAGAGCAGATCTTAGTGCCTACAGGGGCCAATCCTTGTGGGAAACAAGTTGGCACACCCTGATGAAGTGAGATCTCCGGCTACAAAGCTAGAAAGCACTGCTGGCATGGTCTAGAGGACACTGAAAAGCTGATGACTAGTTGAAGATATTAATGTGTGTCACCAGTACCAGCACCAGCGACCAAAGAACCAGACCAGGAGAGGGTCTGCGGATTAAGGACACAACTCGGGTCATTCGGTAGAAGTGAATGCCATTAGTTTATTGCAGCCAGCAGTTTAGATACAAGAGGAGATGGAAAAACACCACCTGCTAGCAGAATACATTCCCACACCCTATCATAAACAAGGAAACTGCAACCCCTGCCCACGGCCAAGGAAGCAAGAAGGGGATGGGGCTAAGACATCATAACAGGACTAGTGGGCAAGGCAAGGAAAACAGGAGGAACCTGTGGTTATGCTGAAAAACAACTCACAGGGACCCCGAGGGAGCTGGGTCGCAACAAATGGGATAGGGGTAACTGGTACAGGTCCTCACCTCATCCACATGCCCCAGTAGCTGCCCTTCTGCAATGACATTGTCTATTACGATGGGAGACCAGGGATTTAACCCTTGGAAACTTTTAGGAGAAGTAGTAGTAGACTTGGAAAGACCATATACAGTGGGGGTCTTATAAAGCTTAAAAGGGAGGCTCATTTAAAAATATTTGCTTCCTTTTACACAAAACGTGAACAGGTAACTACATATCCCACATTCATAACGGCTCCACAGGACTGAAAAAAAAACTGACCAATGAAATAAAAGAACACAAAACTAAGACATTTTCTATGAACTGAATAGAACTAGAGATACTTAGGTGAGCTGTAAGTCACCAAAGGGAAGGTACCACATTATCACTCATATATGGGATATAAAAAAGTCAACCTCTATCAAGATGTTGCTTTCATTGTTCTCCCCCTCCGTCCCTCCCCCAACTCAGCCTTCTTGATCCCTGAAAGAGACATTATATCAAACCCCTCCACCCAGCCAGATCATTCATACCCTTCTCCAAGGTCTAGCCCAGTGAGCCTACCTTACTTTATTTTCCACACACTATCCGGAAGCCCCCCAGATCCACCCAGGCACCACATCCAGTGCCCAGCCTAGTCTGGCCACCTATGCCTGCATCACAGCCCACAAGGCCCTCCTCCCATTGCACATCCAAACTCTTCACCCAGCCAGATCTATCCTCACACTCCAAGCTTGGATCAGGATTCACACCCTGCACACCAGCTCAGTTCTTGATCTTACTCTAATGGGAATTAGCATAGTTTTCTGCCCATTCTGCGGGCTCTCTCTTAATGATGTTTATTGTTTCATCTACAAAAACCTTTTAATTTCATGTATTTTAATTTGTAATTTCTTAGGATTATGTTCTCTGCTATTAGAGTCATTTTTTTTTCAGAGAATCCTTGTCCAAGTCTACTTTAAAGTATTTTGTAGTAGTGAATATTTTTCAGGACTTACATTAGGGTCTTTTTGTATGAGATGAGAGGTAAGAATCTAATTGCCTTTTTTTGTAAATGGCTATTCATTTTCTCAGCATCATTGCTGAAGATGCTGTTTCTGGTGACTTGGTTGAAAATCAGATATGAGTGCCTGTATAGTTTATTTTGTTGTGCTTTATCCTATTCCACTGGTCTATATATCTGAGTTTTGCCAGTACCATGTTAATTTTGTCACTGTGTTTCTGCAATACAATTAGATGCTAGCTATTGTGATGTTGCTAGCATTTCCTTTTTCTTCTAAGATTATTTTCACCATTCAGGGTCTTTTGAGCATCCATATGAATTTTAGAATTGCATTTTCTGTTTTTGCAAACAATGTCATTGCAATTTTATGGGAATTACATGGAGTTTTTATGGAAATTACATGGAATCTGCAGATCATTTTCAGTAACGTGGCTATTTTACAATATTGATTCTGTCAGCCCATGAACACAGGAGTTATATCTGTCTTCTAGTGTCTTTTTCAACTTTTCTTTGAATATTTTAAAATTCTCATTGTAGAGACCTTTCACCTCTTTGATTAGGCTTATTCACAAGTACCTTTTAATCTTTTTTGAATGGAATTGTTTTTTGCTTTCTTTCTTGACAAATTCATTATTGGTATATAGAAAAGCTACTGATATTTTTGTTGATTTTGTATCCTGCTACTATGCTGAAAGTGTTATATGCTCAAAGAAAGCTTTTTCAAATAAAAAATGTAATGAAAGAAAATATAGCATCCGTCTGTGTCAACTTGAGTGTAATTGGCCCCATAAGCTCATAGAGAGTGGCATTATTAGGAGGTATGGCTTTGGTGGAGTAGGTTTGGCCTTTTTAGAGGAAGTTTGTCACTGTGAGGGTGACTTTGAGGTGTCCTTAGCTCAAGCTTCATTCAGTGTGACACTCAGGTCCACTTCCTTTTGCTTTCTGATCAAGATGTAGCCAGCACCATGTCTACCTGCAAGCAGTCATGCTCTCTGCAGTGATGAAACGGACTGAACTTCTGAACTGTAACCCTAACTAAGACAGTCAGGAATCTTTTAAGTTAGGATGAATGTGGTT